TTATATTTGCCTTTAATTAAAAATAAGACTTAAAATACTAGTTTAGGATACTAGTTAAACTCTTTATTAAATTCTTTTAGTATTAGAATCTTAATATTATTAGATTATATAGGTATATATATCTATTATTTCTTAATATAGTCTATATATTATATAAGAATTACTTTATAAAATTCTATATTAAAAATAAGGCTATAAGAGCTAATATTCTTATATTTATAAAACCGGAGTTTAAAAGAATATATTTTATTATAATTATTTATAATAAATATTTTAAAATTATAGACTTAATAAATCTTAAATTTATTTCTATAAAAGATTACAAATTCTTAATTATATTTAGCTAAGATAATAAAATCCCGGCTTTAAATCCAATTATTATTAAGAAAGTTATAATCTAATCCGGTATTACTAAATTTACTATATATCTCTAAGATACTTATTTCTGGCTATATTAATCTTATTTAAATAATTATATAAAATAATATATCTTTTTTTATTATAGCTAAAATTATTAATATTTAAGATTTAGTCTTTCCTTTTTCCTATTTCTTAAAAGAATCTTTTCTAGAATATTCTTTAATAGTAATAGTATTAACCTATTTCTATAAATACTTTAATTCTTTTATAGTTTTGGCCTTATTAGAGTTATATTAAGCCTATTTAGTATATTTGAAATATTTTATACTTTCTAAAAAGTATTCTTTCTATCTATAAGTCTAATAAACTATATCTAAAATAGAACTAGTATTTTATTAAGGCCTTAAAGAAATTAAAATATTATTTAAAAGTTTCTTATATAATTTTCGGAACTTATTCTTTCTTTTTTATTAGCCTTATAAATTAGAATTTACTAAATTAGAGTTTTTAAAAGTAGAATTATCCTTATTAGACTTTCTTATCTTTATTTTCCTTAATTTAGAATAAATAATATATTCTGCTTTCTGAACTTTCTTAAATTATTTAGAAATAAATACTATCTTATCTTTTAAAAAAATAGATATAAGTATCTAATAAGTCTTATAATTAGATAAAATAGTATTAAGAGTCCGAATCCGGTCTCTTTTAGGATATAGGTCCTAGTTAATTTCGAGACTAATTATTTAAATATATAATTTAGTAACTATTTTATTATTTTTCTAATAAAGATTTCAGAGCTTCTTAAAGATATCTTATTAACGGGTTTGAGGTACTTAAAATATATTAGCTAAATAGGCTTTAAATCGCTTCTAATAGATCTTATATAATAGTAGGCTTTATTTTATTATAGCCTTTTAAATATTATAAGATTTGTTTCTAAAAGTACTTATAGTAAAGTTAATTCTAGAAAAGTATTTATTATAAGTTTAAGATTAAATTCTAAAGACTATTTCCCAGAAAGATATAAATATTCTTTATTTCTTAAAGAACTTTCTATAATATAAATCAGGTATCCGGATTTTAAAAAGCTTTTTTTAGTTTAAATATATCTTTAAAATATTATATAGTAGCTCCTAATAAATAGTATTAAGATTACTTTTAAAGCTTATTATATTAGGAAAGAAAATAGGTTCTAATTCCATTTTAGGAAGTTCTCTAATAAGAATTACTAAGGAAAATAGAATAAATTTATAAATAAAGTTTCTATAAAATATAGTAAACTATAAGATATCTCTAAAAGTACTCTTATATTATTCTAACTATAGGATATATTAGTTAATTATATTTACTAATTCTTATTTTTATTAGAATATTTCAATATTAGTATATAATTTCTATTCTATAATTTAGATAATAGTTATTTAAATATTAATCTTAATATTTTAATTATTACCGGAATTATTTCAGTTATTATTACTGGCTTTTAGAAGCTTCTAAAGGGCCTTATTAAAAGTATTAAACGAGTTTTTACTATTACTTATATTAGAATTAATCTAATTAATTTTCTTTATAGAAATAGCTCTAATAAAAGATTATATATTTTATAGATTTCGAGATATAATTACTTATTAAACTACTTTCATTAAAAATAGAAAGATTAGTTTATAAGATATTTATTAGTAAATAATAAAATAATAGAATAAATTAGTATATTATAAAACTAATCTCTATCTCTCCTATAAAGTTCAGAAAAGCCTCCTTTAAATAGGAGGCCCTAATAATATATATATAATTAGTAATTTATAAGCCTAATATTTATAATATAAATAGTAGTTAGTTATAAAGTTAAAGAACCTTTGATTTCCCTAATTAATACCTGTAATATCTAAGGTTTATTATATATTCTTAAGTTATATATAACCTTATATATATTATAAAATATTATTAAATCTTATATAAATATATATATATTATAAAATATTATTATATTAACTTTTTTTTATTAGATAAAAAAAGTATTAATATAAAATTATTATTATATAATAAAAATAAAATATTATATAAAAATACTAAATTATTAGCTTTTAAAATTATTAATTATTATATAATAAATGAAATTAAAAATTAAAAATTTATTACTTATTTAAATTTATAAAACTAAAAATAAGAAATAAAATAAAAGAATTATTATTATTATTACTAAAAGTTTAATTATTTAATATATTATTATTATATAATTAATATAATTAATATAATTAATATAATTAATATAATTAATATAATTAATATAATTAATATAATTAATATAATTAATATAATTAATATAATTAATATAATTAATATAATTAATATAATTAATATAATTAATATAATTAATATAATTAATATAATAAATATAATAAAACTTTAAATAAAAGTTATAACTTATAAATTTAGAAATATTTAATAATATTTAAAATACTTTCTAATCTTTATTATTTCTATTTTTATTTACTTTTTATTTACTTTTTATTTTAGTTATAAAGTATTTATTAATAAGTAATAAAATAATAAAATAAATTATAAAACTGTAATTATTATATAGTACTAGTCACGTGGTGCCACTGCACGTGACTTAGCGTATAGCCAGTACTTTTAGCCCGGTATATAGCCTTTAGCTTAATTTAAGCTCTTTATTACTATTATAATAACTATTATATTATAATAATAATATTAAATTTAATATTAAACTAATTTTTATTTTTTTATAAAACTTAAAAAAGATTTTTAATAATATATATATTTAGTAATTTATAAAACTAAAATTTATAATATAAATAATAATATAATTATTATTAATATAGCTATAATTATTAATAGTTATATAATATAATTATATAATTTTATATTATATAAGTAATTTAATAAATAAATTAGACTTTATTAAACTTAATAAATTTAGAAATTATATATTAATATTATAATACTATATTTCTTATTTCTAAATAATAATAACTTTATATAATAAATATATATAATAGTATATAAATAGGTATTAAATATTATAGATCTAATTTCCTATTTTAAATAAAGCTTATAATCGGAATTATATAAATTATATAAAATTATATTTCCTAATTAAATAAAGTACTTTATAGGCTTGGCTAAATACTAGGAAATATATAAAGAGATACTTTTAGCTTTAGAAAGAGATATTAATTAGTCTTTTATTAGAATTAATTCTTGGAATTAGTTATATTTATAAGTATTATTTTATAGCTTACTTACCTTAATTACTTATATATTACCTGACTATTATATATCTTATATTCTAATTAATTTAATATAACTAGTATTTTATATTTATATAATAATATTATATATTACTAGTAAACTAATACTAATTAGTTTATATATATAAATTAGGGAAGATTTTAGATTAGTTCTAAAAATATTTAATAGCCTAAAATAAATCTAGTCTATTTTATATTAAAAAAGAAAATTACTTATTAACTTTATAAAAGTATTTAATAGCTTATAAAGAAAATATCTAGTTCTTACTAATTAATAAATAGTTAGCTATTTAATTATTATTATTTTTTAAAACTAGCTTCTTTTAGTTCTAAAACTACTTTTTTAGAAACTATTTTTTCTATTTATATAATACCTATATTTATAAGACTCTTTTTCTGAAATATATATTCTATATATATTTTTAAAGCTCTTTAACTATAACCTTTAATTTTTCTATTAAATTAAGCTTTTTAAACTTTAGATTCTTCCGGAATTATAATATTTTACTTCCTAAATTTCTTATTATAAATAAAATACTTAAGAATAAAATGTTTAAGAATAAAATATTTATTTTAATATCTTTAATATATCTAGTATCTAAACTAGATATCTAGTATCTAAATTAGATATTTAGATATCTAAATATTTTTATTACTAATATATAAAGTATTTTATATATAATATATAATAATATTATATATTATTAGTAAATTAATATTTATAAAAGAAATTTTATTTATATAATTTAAAATTATAATTTATTAATTAAGTTTCTAGTTTTTAAATAATAAAATTAATAATTAATTTCTTTAAATATATATAAATAATTAAATAATTTAGTTTTTTATTTGAATTATATATAAACTTTATAATTAGGAAAATAAAGCCGGTGTTTTTAAACTCTTATTTATATTATTTATTTCTATTATAATTAGTATATTTTTTATATAACTAGTTTATTTTATTAATATTAATAAAAATATTATAGTTTTAAAAGAATTACTCGGAAATTTTCTTAGAATAATCTTTTAATTTTTTAATTAATTAAATATTTTTAATTCTAATAAATTCTTTAGTTTATTTTTATAGAATAAGAAAATAAATAAAAAGAAAAATAATATAATTAAAGAAAAGCTTACGAGAATCAAGTATTTAAGAATATAATTACTTGTATTTTTTTTAATATTAGATATAAGATATTAGTTAATTAAATAAGTCTGACTTATTAATTAACGTGTAATATTATACTAGAACATATTCTAATAGCTGAGCCTGGCCAGTAATTAAATGCCACATCGTTTGGCATCTTTAGTAACAGATCGAATCAGTTCCTCCTTGAACTAACATATGTACAGATTTTGCGATGCATTTTATTTAAGCATTCGTCATCTTTGGGCGACAATATTATGTGGACAAAAACGTTCATAATGTTAGGGGGATGTCATGCACGAGGTGCTAAGAAGCTACTAGTACTATCAAATTACCGCTATATCCTCATCCTTGCACAGATATCGTCCCATGAATCTCAAATTATCGTCTCCTCACTTCTCCCCAGCCTCCTCATCTTTCCGCTTATGCAACGTAGCTACAACTCTATCCGTCATCATATCATCCACATTTGGCACCCAGAGACTACAGAAAATTGCAAGTGCACTAAACGCGATCGTAGAGTAAAACACAGTCTGATAAGCATGACTACTCGCAACCTTATACGCTGCGATTCCCACGCTTTCAATCGCACTCGTCAGGCCTGCCACTTTCGAGAACGCTTCTGGAGTCCCTACTGTTACCGCACTGAGAAATGCAGCCACAGATGAAGATGGTAATCCAGCTGCAATGAGTTTCGGGGGCACTTCGGCGGGGATTGTACGAGCAAGGCGGTTAGCCAAGATGACGGTGTAGACTGTTCCTGCGATAGTTGAGACGGTTTCGCGGATGCACGCGCCTACTCCTATGGCGGTGCCGATTTCGGCTTGCGTTGGGATGATCATGCCGCTGATGGTAAGACCGATGTTTGTAAGCCAGCCCATGGAGAAGCAACCTAGGAAGAGGAGGGCAGCGATGGTGTTTTGGTTATAGGGAGTTGCGCAGGCGCCAGCTGTCCATCATTAGTGCTTGTATGTCATTCTTGACACTAGATGAGTAACTGGAAAGGGGAGGAAATGGAATACGAGGGGGAGAGAAGGGATGGAGACATACCCCCCAGAAACAGGCCCATCAATGTTGCAGCCACAATGAGCTGATACTTCTGCTTCCCAATCCTCTTCCCCAGTACGCCACTAACAATCTGACCCGAATTCGTCCCAAGCCCAGTCACACAACAAAGGAATCCTCCTTTTGTCAAATCACTCGTGTACAACGCAAATACCATTATGGGCCACACAATCGCAAAACAAAAGTAAACACTTGCCCCGAGAGCTATCATAAATATATCTGCTACCCATCTGATATTGCGAAAAAGATGCATGGGAACGAGTGGTTCTTTTAAGGGGACGAATATTTCGTAGAGAATAAAGGCTACTAGGGAGAAGAACCCAACGATGATTGTTCCAATAACATGAGCAGATTTCCAGGGGTATAAGGCCCCGCCCCAGGAGATACCCATTAGAAAGGTGACGATACCGCCGCAGAAGAGGATGAGGCCAATGAAGTCGAAGTCTTGGATAACTTGGCGTCTGGTCTTCTTGTGGGCCCATCTCTCATCGAATGAGGGTGGAAAGTAGCTAGGATTGTTAGCTCGGAGGATTTCGCATGACGCCGAGGGGGCTTACAATAGGAACCAAAAGACTACTGCCAAAAAATTGATCCCGATAAATAGATAATAGATTGACCGCCATGTATGTTTGCTATGCTGGACAAAGGCATAGGAAACGGCCGGACCGAAGCCATCTAACGGAAAACCCCAGCAATACACGAACCCCATGCTGAGAAAACGGTGCTTGAATGGAACGAGTTCTCCAATGACAAAGGGATACGAAAGCTGGGAGGCTGCTGCAAATCCGATTAAAGTTGTACCTCCAATGAGCATCGGAATACTCGTAGCAACAGCGCTGACGATACAGCCGATGAGGGAAAGAACCGATCCAGAGATAAAGAACCAACGACGTCCGAAAAGATCAGACAAACGTCCCACGAGGAGTTGTCCCAGTGCTAAGGTCAAGATGTAGACAAGTCCTACCCAGAGATAGTTTGGATCAGGGCCAATGTCGGCGTTGATAACTCCCAAAACAGGCGCTGCAAGAGCAAAGGTTCCAGCACCCTAAATATATCTCAGCCTCATGTGCTTTTGTGTACCTGTCACAGTGCTACTTACGGCCGACAGCGAAAGACCTGCGGCAACTAGAGTTCCAATGAAGTACGGACTGCGGAAATACCCTTCTGGCAGATCCTGACTGTCGATATCAAATGTTCTTACATCAGCGACGACAGGATCTGGCGAGGCCTTTTCCGAGAGGGCCGTTGAAGCAAAAGCTTCGCCATCACTGATGGCGTTCTGAGACATATCCAGAGTTCGGTAGAGCAGAAGAAGGATCAAGAATAATGGACAACAGAAGCTTCTTCGGTTTCAAGCCGATCTGCTTTGATAGCTACGAGTCCGAGTCGGTGGTTTCGCTGAGAACTTGGACGGGTGCTCTGACTTCAGCAGAACCGAAAAAATGGAGATCGCAAGCTTATCTCTTCGTCTGGCGGCCCAGAACTGGGGTCAGTTTAGCGAGAATATGCACCCCATTCGTTGATTATCTGTGACGATCGAGTGGTCGGGTCTTGCCATTCCACACGCTGGTTCTTGGCGAGTAATATGACGAGTCTGATCGGTTCGGCCAACGTCCTTTGACTCGGGAGATCGAAGGCTGCATGAGCCTTCCACCTTCTGGAACGTTCCGATATGACAGCAAAATGGAATTGAGCAACCACGCGCCCGCTCTTGACTCGTAAACGTGGCTTTTATGCAGGGCTGCCTGCAGTACCACACCCCGCCTTGAATACTTACAGTGAGTGGCCCAAGGGTACAAGGGTTTTCAGCGAGAGCACTTCTCATAAGCACCTGATATTCCCTAACTCGGGGATATAAACGAGGTTTCAGGGTGGCGTTACCCAAGGGCCTACTGTAACTATTCAGGGGGAGGGGGGCGGGGGGATAGTATCACTTTCACGCAGCTGGATACACACAAGATTGCAAAAAGCAGAAACAAAGGTCGGGATGCCGGCCGCACCGTGGAAATCCGTTGGAAGCCTGACAGTGAGCTACTCCCAATCCGTGGAAGAGGTTTCATTCGTTTCGGGGAACGGGGAACGGGGAACTGGGAGCCCGGTGGGTATGCATAAAAAGGCATTTCATTCGTTTGTTTTTCCTAAGCGTGAGTACGGGAGCTGTTCCCCGGCGCCCAAAGCGGCCGTAAGCTCTAGGACTGCGATTCCCTGCCCCTCCTTTGTTGGATCCTGTCGGTACGTACGATGTGTACAGCGGACGATTTGCAACCGGCATGCACCGGCACATGTTCATGATGCGGCTGGACCCCCAAAAATAGATGAGAAATAAAAGTGTACAGACAAATTAATCCATAGCGCGGATCGGCCAGGAAGATATATGCTCAGAGTTATCAGGCATCAAACAGCGCGCGGTTGCCGCGTTTTCTTCGGAAATTACGATGCGACGATCTCACCGCCTCCACATCAGGCTGGGAAGGGGGGCTGGGCAGCCAACCAAACTGTAGCTAAGCCTCACACGGTGAGGAATTTCTTCGGGTAAATTTCCACGCTACTGTATAAAGATCCACCCCGCCTTTTAGACGGAGTACGGAGCATTGCTCAAGAAGCGCCATAGCCTAGCGCATCTCGATATCATTGATTCGAGTTAAGGTTTGCCTGGAGTGAGCGCGCTTGATTCAACCTCCGGTCGTTGTACGTGGCATTTGATAAGATGGACGCTGGCGGGTCTTCCTCCAAAGCGACGCAAGTGAGTCGCTCCGTGTCGCTCCTGACTCCGGAACAGTTGGTCCGGAAGAGGGCTCAGGATCGTGAAAGTCAAAGACAAACAAGGCAAGCACTCTTCGAGATGCTCACATGAGGGCGGGACTGTGGGGGGTTTTCGAGTTAACTTGGCACAGATTGCGAGTGAAGCAGACAATTGCACAACTTGAAAGCAGAGTCGAGGATTTGACCCAGCAGCTGATCGCTACTAAATTAGAGAACGACTCACTAAAGGCGGAAAATCAGTTGGCGCCCCCTGGATCCATACCGCAACGAATGGTACCGGGCTCAATTCCCTTGGATGACCCATTCGAAAACTATCCTGGACTAGATGCTGTTCAACGAAGAAATCTTCATGCAAGTCAATATATGCTTACCAATTCGCAATTTGCACAGTCTTCAATGATGTCAATACCAATCGGCACAGGTGAGTGGAAATTCATTTCATCTCCGGGATCCATTTACTGATAGTGTTGATGATAGAAGTACAGGAGGCTCCCGGGCTGCTTGACCCCGGTTTACCGCCTCAGTATTCGTATGACGACTTTGTACGATCTATTTCTATTCCAGTCTGGGAAGCACGGTCTCTTCACTACCCTCCAACATGCAAAGTTGATAAGGTTCTCCTCGGTCTTGTAGAGTCCCGGAGGCCACTCAACCCAATGGGGGGCAATGAATATGAATTCACCAACGAAAAGTTCCCCGCTGTTGCTGCTCTCTTGAACCCGCAGCACCATGCATTGACATTTCCATTGACAACTTCAATTGTTTCTGTACGTTACTGGTCTACTCTTCTGATCCCTGCACTGACACAGATCTTCGTAGGGTCTCATCTATCATTTGACTATTGAGAATCTTCCGGAACAGGTGAGTCTGGTTCAAGGAACTGTCCTCACAGTTGTGCTGACGGAAGTAGATTGCGATGATGTAGTACGTCAAACTTTTTCGTTCTTGTTCCCTTGAAATGCCGGCTCGCAACTCTGGGAGCACGTTCCCAGACTCGGGCCTTCACACTTCGGACAAAACACGGTGCTAACTCGTTGAGCAGCCTGTTTTGTATATTGTGCAGAGTAAGTGGTGATCGCCCCGACTTTGGACAATGTGAAGACTAAGACATTGCCAGTGGTTAATTACTGGTTCTAAAGAAGATTATTATGCAATGCCAGTATGGTTGAGACCGGGCGCTGCTCAAATTGTGACAGCCCATCCCATGTGGGTTGATCTGATGGCCTGGTAGATATGAATCATCCTTTCTTGCACCCTCTGTTTGCTGATTTGAACAAGGCCTGGAGCTCGAGAGAGACTTTGTCGAGACATGAAGTTTCATGATAAATTCGAAGAATTCAGTAAAATAGCTAATGAAACATGGTCAATCAATTGGCCGTACAATCCAGGCGACTGCTTCATCACTTTGTCCTCGAAAGAGTACATTGTGAACCCAGCATTCATTACACACATTCGAGACCTATCAAACTGGACTTATGGCCCAAGTTTTTTTGAAGTGTGAGTTCATACAACTACCTAGTGTCTCATGAACTGTTCAACTGACAGGGTGTGACCGAAGGTATCCGGAATTCAAGAATGATATCAACATGGGAAGACCGAGAGTTCAGGTGTAAAAGATATCGGATTCCTCCAGAAAGACAAGTGGCAGTTTTAACAACAGCTTCCGGATGCTTGGGGCTGGCAAACCATTTCCATTAACCTGGTCGCAAAGCCGAATCGCGATAGTTATCGCCCCTTCTGTGTGGAACCTCCGAGATAGGTCATCCGACATCCCGACGGCCGTCGTCAAATACCCGCGTCGAGCGGATTGACTCGTTAGCTCATGGGTTGCCCGGTTCCGTTTCCTGATCTAGCCACCTGCAGCATTCAGCACTCAGCCACCAAGACTCTTGACACATCACTACTTCTCATGAAGTGTTATTATATAGTTTCAATTTTCGAATTCTTCACCGTTTTCATCACAAAAGTACATGATGGGTCTTGTCATATTTTTGAGAGGCAACTTTGGTGCGATCTTGGAGTCATGGAGTTGGTTGACAGTGACGGTGGCAATATTTAGTCCTGTGAGAAGACATCTCCTATTCAATTACTCAAGCTGATCTATGTTACAGATTATATTCTACGTTTCTGCACATGCCATATACAATATATACTTCCACCCGCTTGCAAAGTTTCCTGGTCCAAAATTAGCTGTCATTTCAAACGTATGTCAAAATCACCGCCTATCTGACACCCTCTTTGTCTAATAATGGGGGCCTAACCACAGATCTTCTATGCAAGAACAGTAGTCAGTGGAAATTCGGTAAAGACCATGAAAGCTCTCCATGAGAAATATGGTCCGTTCCCAAAATTCAAGCTCCAGCCGTATACAAGCTAAAATGATTTTTGTAGGAGATGTGGTTCGTTGGTCTCCTGATGAGCTTTCTTTCTCTTCTGCAGCGGCCTGGAAAGACATTTATCTCCCACAAAAATCTAGAGAAATTTTCTTGAAGGATCCCAAGTTCTATGTAATTGATGATGAGTATGTTTTCTCTCCTTCCACATCAAGAACATGCTAAAGTAACGATCCTCTAGACTTCGGGCAAAACAAATTGCCAATATCTTAGACCCTGAAGAGCACGAACGAGCTAGAAAGGTGCTCGTGAGTTTTTCAGACTGACACTTGATAAATTCGTTAATAATTTCCCTAGTCCCATGCATTCTCACCGAAGGCTCTCTTGGAACAAGAAGACATCGTTCTGAAATACGCAAACATGTTAATGATTGCTATCCAAGAGGAGTCTCGCAAGGGACCAATTAATTTTATCGACTACTATAACTGGGTCACTTTTGATGGTAACCTCCTATCCATCCCTCCCTATCTAATACCTAATACGATTAGTGCTCGGGGAACTCGCATTCAGCGAAGCCTTCGGCTCTGTCAGAAATAGAAAGACCGATTCCTGGATCGCCACCATACTTCAAGCAATCAAGTTTGGTGCCTACGACTCTGCAATCTTCCGTCTCTCCCCACGAGTCTGGAAAATCATGCCCTATTTCATCCCTTCTAAAATTACCACAGAGGCACTCAATCACGTGAACCAATCCAAAGCCAAAATCCTCGCCCGGATGGAGAAGGGAGATTTAGAGCGTCGAGATTTCTGTTCTTATCTCTTTGAGAAAAAAGAGGAGCTCGGATTAACAGATTGGAATTTGGCGGGATACGCTAATGTTCTTATTATGGCGGGGAGTGAAACTAGTGCGGCGCTTTTGAGTGCGTTGACGTATTATCTTTGTAAGACTCCTGAGGTATACCAGAGGTTGAAGGTTGAAGTAAGGGGGAGGTTCGAGACTGCGGATGAGATTACGAGTCAGAGGGCCACGTTTCCGTATTTGACTGCGGTTATTCAAGAGGCATTGAGAATTTTCCCGCCCTCACCAATTGCGCCGCCGAGAATAACTCCAAAGGATGGTGGGATAGTAGCTGGTGTCTTCGTACCTGGAGGAGTAGGTTTTATCTCAACTCAACTACATCTTTAAAGTCACTGACGATTTTGCAGACAACAGTCGGCGTCCACATGTGGTCCGTTACACATAATCCAAATAACTTCAAAGACCCATATGCTTTCCGTCCAGAACGTTGGCTTGATCCAAATTGCACCGATAATCTGAGTGCCAGCCAACCCTTTCTCATTGGTCCACGAGCTTGTATGGGACAAAAGTAAGCTCGCCCTATCTCAGCCTTCACAAGATTTGATCTAAATTGATATTAGCATGGCCTGGATGGAACTCAGGATCTTGATTGCGAAATTGGTTTTCTTGTTTGATTTTGAGCTTGCCGATAATGATTTAGATTGGGACCGAGATTGCGCTTGTTTTCGTCTTTGGCAGAGGCCGGATTTGTGGACCAAGGTTACAATGAGAGAAGATTTATAAGAATGGAATTCAAGTCGAGATTTGTTACTGCTCGCTGCACTTCCTTACTCTTGCTTTCCAACGTTCATGTCTGATAAATATATTAAGGGAGCTTTGTATGGGTCCATGACTGTGCGCTAGCGCGTCCCAGCTTGCTCAGAGCCGACCCGAATAGTGTAGCGCAACCTTGACATTCAGACGACAAGTAGTCATCTCTATATACGAAAGTATCCTCAGTTTCTAACACGTTCTAGGAAGGCCCTTTCAACACCGTTGACGTACACCCGGTCTCGGATCCACATCCTCAGGTCAAGGTTGCAGGACCCGTTATACACAAAGTACTTAAGGTCCACCACTGTCATATTCTACGCCTCTTCTTAGTTCCATGGAGCGCCGACGATGGAGTTGTATCCTTCGTTTCTCGGTTTGCTCCTTCGACATCTGCCTCGTCAAATGTACAATGGGCCTCTCTTATCAGCATGTGGGAGCTAATCATCATAGCGAAACCTCGAACTTCTAAAGCCGACCCTTTCTGTTTCTCTGTTCCCAATTGTCGACTTTCTGCTTCCATCCCTCCCGCCGTTTCCGGGGAGGATGGCTCCCCATCTCGTCGGTCACCATGGCACTGCCTATTGTTCGTCCTCATATATGTCCTCTCCGTATCCTCGTCTTCATCCTTACCCCCCCTCTCAACGCAGCACCTCGCAAGACTAACATTCTGCCCCGGACCACCTTACCCCGAGACCGAATAATCCTGCCTTCACCATGCTTACAAGAAACTACACAAAGGTCAATCTGCGACTGCCTCAAACCTCGCTTCCAAATCTCGCACGCCTAAATAACGGTATTAAATATTATTGTCCCAAACCGAAGATCTAATATCCTCCCAAATATTACGAGTATCTAATTAATAAATACAATAATATGACCATAAAACGCAATTATACTAATACTACTATTAATAACCTCTGAGGAGTTATTAATAAGTTTAGTAAGCAAGATAATAAACCCTTAATTAAAAACCTTAAGTAACTAGTTAGTCTGAATTCTAATCTAGGTTTATTAAATATAACTTATAATTCTATTATTTTAATATATTAATAATAAAGAATTAATAATATTCGCTTTTATATAAATTACTTATATGTATTTTAATACTTATATTAAAATTAAACTATTATATTATTAATTATTTATTAATAATTAGACTTATAAATTAGACGTCTTTTAAATAAATTATATAAGTATAACTATAATTATTTGTAATATGTGCAGGGTCGCACGTGACTTAAGGGCATATAATAAACCTCGGATGTCGCGGGTATTAATTAGGGAGATTAAAGGCCCTTTGATATTACAACCAACTACTATTTATATTATAAGTATTAGGCTTATAAATTACTAATTATATATATGTCATTAGGGCCTCCTATTTAGAGGGGGTTTCCCTGGACTTTATAGGAGGGATAGAGATTAGTTCTATACTGAATTTAATACTGTGGTTTCACAACTCACTAATTCATTCTATTGTCTTATTACCTACTAATAAATATCTTATAAGCTAATCTCTCTATCCTCAAGAGAGATAGTTCAATAAGTAATTATATCTCGAAATCTGCAAAATATATGACCCCTTACTAAAGCTATTTCTATAGAGGAAGTCGACCAGATTAACTCTAATACAGGTAATAGTAAAGGCTTATCTAATATTTTTAATAGGGCCCCTCAGGAGCCTCCGAGAGCCAGTAATAATAATAGAAATAATCCCGGTAATAATTAAGATACCGAGATTAATACCCGAGTTACTGCTGCCCAAGCTATAGAATAGGGCTTGCGTACTAAAGTCAAAGCGCTCTAATAAAAGCAAGAATTAGTAGATATAATTAACTAATACATTCTATAGTTAGAGTAATATAAGAGTGCTTTTAGGGATACCTTGCGGTTTACTATATCTCGTAGAAACTCTATTTATAAGTCTATCTTATCTTCCTCGGTAATTCCTACCAGGGAACTTCCTAAAATGGGATTGGAATTTATTTCTTTTCCTAATATAATAAGCTTTAAGAGTAATCTCGATATTATTTATTAGAAGCTACTATATAATATCCTGAAAATATATTTGGACTAAAAGAAGCTTCTTAAGGTCCGAATACCTGACTTATATTATAAAAAGTCCCTTAAAAAATAGAGAATATTTATGTTTTTCTAGGAGGTAGTTTTTAGGACCTAACCTTAAACTTATAATAGATACTTTTCTAAAGTTAACTTTACTACAAGTACCCTTAGGAACAAACCTTATAATATTTGGGAGGCTATAATAAAGTAAAGCCTACTATTATATGAGGTCTATTAGGAGTAATTCAAGGCCTACTTAGCTAATATGTTTCAAGCGCTTTAAACCTATTAATAAGACGCCTTTAAGAAGCTTTAAGATCTTTATTAGAAGAACGGCGAGATAGTTACTAAGTTATATACTTGAATAATTAGTTTCAAAGTTAACTAGGACCTATACCCTAAAAGAAACCGGGTCCGGACTCTTAATACTACTTTATCTAACTATAAGACTTATTAGATACTTATATTTATCTTTTCAGGAAATAAGGCAATATCTATTTCCGAGTAGCTTAAGAAAGCTCAGAAAGTAGAATATACTACTTATCCCAAATTAAGGAGAATAAAGGTAAGGAAGTCTAGTAAAAGCAATTCTGCTCCTAAGAACTCTGATTTAGCGAATTTTGATCTATAAGGCTATTAAAAAAGGAAGAATAAGTTCCGAAAATTATATAAGAAATCCTTAGGTAGTATTTTGGCTCCTTTAAGGCCTTAATAAAGTACTAGTTCTACTTTAGGTATAGTTTATTAGACTTATAAATAGAAAGAATACTTTTTAGGAAATGTAAAGTATTTCAAGTATACTAAATAGGCTTGGTAGAATCCCGATAAGGCCAAAACTATAGAAGAGTCAAGGCATTTATAAAAGCAGGTTAATACTATTATTATAGAGAAGCGCTCTAGAGAAGACCCTCCTAAGGAACAGGGAAAAGAGAAGGCTAAATCTTAAATATTAATAATTTTGGCTATAATAAAAAAGATATATTATTTTATATAACTATTTAAGTAAGATTAATATAGCCAGAAATAGGTGCCTTAGAGGTATAGAGCGGACTCGGTAATACTAGGTCAGACTATAACTTCCTTAATAATAATTGGGCTTAAAGCCGGGGCTTTATTACCTTAGCTAAATATAATTAAGAATTTATAACTTTTTATAGAAATAAATTTAAGGTCTATTAAGCCTATAATCTTGAAATATTTATTATAGATAATTATAGCAAAATACGTTCTTTTAAGCTCCGGTTCTATAAGTATAAGAATATTGGCTCTTATAGCCTTGTCTTTAGTATAGAATTCTATAAAGTAACCCTTATATAATATATAGACTATATTAAGAAATAATAGATATATATACCTATATAGCCTAATAATATTAAGATCCTAATACTAAAAGAGTTTGGTAAGGAGCTTAACTAGTACCCTGAGCTAGTATCTTAAGTCTTATTCTTGACTAAAGGCAAATATAATTATCCTAGATAGTAGGCTTTATATATTTGTAATAGTTACTAGATCTTTGCTTTATTATATGGTTCTAGTAATACTAAATAGGAGTTTTTAATATGGCAAATTAATATTTTCCGGAAAGGGGCCTTAGAAATACCTATTTACTTCCGGAATAATAAATATAAAGACTTCTTAGAGGTTTTTAATTCTAATAAAGCTTTGGAACTTCTTGATCTTGGTAGTATTAAATACTTTATTAATATAGATAGTATAGTCTTATATAGGCCTTTATATAATTTATTAGAGATCTAACTAGAAGTATTATATCTGTATTTATAGGATACACTTTATAAATATTAGATAAGGCCTAGTAAAAGCCCTATAGGGGCTGTTACGAGTTGCTTAGACTAATAGATACACATATAGGGAAATAGCTTTACCGTATGGGTAATTAGATTAAAAGGTATAATAATAAGGTTGGAAGCCTTATTAGCTATTTTACTATATGAGAGTACAGTGCGCATCACGTGACTAGCCGCGCACGTGATATATAACTGTAACAGGGGCGCTTATTCTTTTTATTCCCAAGAAGAATAAAGAACTATATTTTTGTATTAATTATTATAGACTTAATTAAGTTATAATTAAGAATTAGTATCTGTTTTCTCTTATTAATAAGACTCTTAACTGGCTCTGAGGAGCCAAGATTTTTATAAAGCTAGATCTTAAGGATATATATTATTAGATAAGAATTTATAAAGAACACGAATAGAAAACAGCTTTTAGGACTTACTATAGCTATTTTAAATATCTTATAATATTTTTTGGGCTAGCTAATATACTAGCTATATTTTAAGTATATATTAATACTATACTTATAGGACTTCTAAATTATTTCATAGTTATTTATTTAGATAATATTCTTATTTATTTCTGAAATAAAAGTAAATACTATAATTATATTTGCCAGGTACTTACTAGGCTATATAAAAATAACTTGTTTTATAAACTTAGTAAATACGAGTTTAATATTAAGGAAGTCGAATTTTTGGGCTTTCTTATTAAAATAGAAGATATTTATACGGATCCTAAACGGGTTTATAGTATTATTAAATAGCTAGAACCAAAATTATTCTATAATATTTAAGTATTTCTTGGATTTACTAATTTCTATTATAGATTTATTTACTATTACTCTCAGGTAATTATAGGCTTAATAGATTTTTTAAAAGAAATAAAAAAGGGCCGGAAATCCGGTTTCTTTATATAAATAGATAAAGTAGCTAAAAGCTTTAAGACTTTGAAAAAAGCTTTTATTATAATACCTGTCCTGGTCTATTTTAATTCTTTTAAGAAAATTCATATTAAAACTAATATATTAAAATTCATAATTACTAGTACTATTTTATAATAAGTTAATTCTAGTAATAGCCCGAAAAAATACTAGTATCTAGTAATATTCT